ACAGGGCGTTCCGGGCGGCGGAGGGCGGGCCGGTCTGGCCGGCGCCCGCCCGGAGGGGGTGGGGCACGGAAAGTCCCTGGGCGCCTGCCAGGAACACTCAGCTCATAATAACCTCGCGGAAAACACCGCGGCCGCGGCCTCCAGAAACCCCGAGCTTGCGCAATCCCCCGCAGCCCGCGCCCTCGGGGCGGGGGGGGTCCCCACGCAGTGGCGCTCACCGCCCCTGGGGGGTTTCCCTGCCGTCCCGCAGGTTCCTGCACTTGGCCATCATCCACGAAGAGAAGACCCTGACCCTGGAAGTGATTCGTCAGGTGAAGGGAGACCTGGCCTTCCTCAACTTCCAGAACAACCTGCAGCAGGTGTGCGCTTGCCCAGCTGTGCCCTCCTCGACCTGGCGGTGGGGTTGGATGTAGCTCAGTCGCCCCCAAAGAGTTTCTAGATTAAGAGTCACCGAGTCCTTATCTGCCCTGGCCTTTCACATTCAAATTAGCCAACGTAGGCAAGAAGGAAATCCCACGGGTTCTTTGAGGTCGTTATGACCCACCTGGGGGCCTCCTGGAGCCATCAGGGAGGAGCAGAGTCCACAGCAAGGAGGTGTCTGGGGTTTGGGAAACTTAAGACTGCATTTGCTCTGTGGCTTATCCCCTTTCTGTTTCCTCTTCCATTTGTAGAGTCCACTCCACTTGGCCGTGATCACCAACCAGCCAGGAATTGCTGAGGCACTTCTGGAAGCTGGCTGTGATCCTGAGCTCCGAGACTTTCGAGGAAATACCCCTCTCCATCTTGCCTGTGAGCAGGGCTGCCTGGCCAGTGTGGGAGTCCTCACACAGACCTGCACACCCCAGCATCTCAGCTCCATCCTGCAGGCCACCAACTACAATGGTAGGTCTGCCGGTCCATCCACAGACACAGGGAAGGAAGCCACAGGCCCACCTGAGGCTAGGCTAGATCTTAGACCACAGATAGGAAAAGTTCAGGCAAGGTGGACTTTTAAACAGTCTCTGCTGCTACCTGTATAGTGTCGCTCAGAACCCAGATTCCATGTTCTTAAAGATTGAGGATAGTTTATGGTTTATCCTATAAGGAAATGTAGGATTGTGTGAGGATTGAAACATAGTTACACATTTGATCTCCCCTTCCTCTAGGCCACACGTGTCTGCACCTAGCCTCGATCCACGGCTACCTGGGCATCGTGGAGCATTTGGTGTCACTGGGTGCTGATGTCAATGCTCAGGTGAGCACGTCTGTCTTCCAGATGGAGCCGCTCAGGTTCCTCCTCGGCTCCACTGGGCTTGTTCTTAATGCCAGCAGATTCTCCCACAGAGCCATAACGTGTCTGATTGCTTTTGGTTTCAGGAGCCCTGCAATGGCCGAACGGCCCTCCATCTCGCAGTGGACCTGCAGAATCCCGACCTGGTCTCGCTCTTGTTGAAGTGTGGGGCTGACGTCAACAGAGTCACTTACCAAGGCTACTCTCCGTACCAGCTTACATGGGGCCGGCCGAGTACCCGGATACAGCAGCAGCTGGGCCGGCTGACCCTGGAAAATCTTCAGCTGCTGCCGGAGAGCGAGGATGAGGAGAGCTATGACACAGAGTCGGAATTCACGGAGGATGAGGTGAGTGCTCGTGACCTCCCTCCCTCGGCATTCTCCGTGTTCTTGGCATTCTCTAGTGTTCATTGTAGGGATCCCAGCATAGTTACTTAACTTCTCACACTCTGCAAAACCAGGATCCCAACAATTTGTCCCTCTGTTTACTTTAATAGTTTACCCTTGGGGGGCGGGTAAGAGGGAGTTCTGGAGAGTGGACCCAGGCCTTAACACGTGATAAAATAGGCACGTGTTGTGCCCTTGAGCTACACCCCCTGCCATAGCGTAGACCTTTCTCTATAGGAGAGAATCAGTAGCGGAAAACTCCTACTAGGGATTCGGTATATTTGGGTGAAGGAGGAAGGAGTCCAAGAATATGAGATAGTTGCAGAAGCAGCTCTCCCGTCATCCCCCCCCCCCCAGCTTGGCACAGTGCTAGGAATTTAATATGCCTTTCTCCCGCTCTTGTTTTAGCTGCCCTACGATGACTGTGTGTTTGGAGGCCAGCGTCTGACATTATGAGTGGAAAGTGTCAAAAAGAGCACAGACTTGTATATTTGTACAAAGCAAGAGTTTTATTTTTCTAAAAAAAGAAAAGAAAAAAGAAAAAAAAAAGAAGAAGAAAGGGTATACTTCATGCCACACTCATACCGCCTAGCCCCAAGCGTTTTACTGTGGTGATTCAGCCTTCGTTTTGTTATTTTTGTGAAATATGGGGAAACAGGTCACTGGAATTCAAAGAAAATGTCTTTTAAAGTTCGTGTTTGTGGGATTTTTGGAGGTGATTTTCCAAAATCTAATGAAAGGACCACATTTTATTTATTATGCCTTTGACTGAACCACCTAGACCTAGTGGCTGAGCCCAGTGTGTCCTGTGTAAGAGCCAGGCGGTCAGTGGTCACTCCCCACTGTGGTTTGTGTCACCCTCCTGTAAATGTTGTAGATGGTGTATTTTGTTGGTAATTATTTTGGTACTTCTAAGATGTATATTTATTAAACAGATTTTTACAGACAGCATTGTCCTGTTCCGTTTGCCGTTCTGAGAGTGGCTTGTTCCTGAGGGATGGAGGCTGGGGTCGGGCGAGTGTGTGCAGCCAGCTAAGGAAGTGCAGAGAGCAGCCCATCCTCCAGGCCAGGTTTTGCAGCAGCCCTCCAGCCCCTGTGTGGGAGGGAGGCTGCTGCAAGGGTGACAGGAAGTGCGTGCCAGCTTGGCTGGGGTACCAGCGAGCCACCTGGCCTGTCACTGAAGCCTCTATTTTCTCCTTCATTTAAGCTGTTCCAGGACCCTTCTGTCACTTTCGAGCTTAGTTTGGACAGGAGGAATTAGCAGAATTCAACAGGAAAGTTCTCGGGGTGGACATGGGCTTGGATGTGGTGCTGTCCCGACATCTTCTAGGAGGTGGTCACCTCCGAGACTTCTTACTGACTGAGCTGTTGTAGACATTGTGTAAGACTGAAAACATGACAGTGCCGGGCATCTAGTATTGGGGGAAAAAAATACAGCTATTGTACAACATTTTGCTTCATAGGGGAAGCAAGAAATCCAGAGAACAGCTTGTGCAAGGACTTCCTGAGGAGCGGAAGCGGGTCCGGTCATCTGAAACCTTTTTTCGGGCTGCTAACCGAAAGGCTGTGAGTCTCATCACAGACTAGTCTCAGGGAGAGTAAGCTTGAGAATGTTTCCATCAGCACAGTGCCCTGATTTCACAATAAATCAGGGATGTTTGAAAAATTGCATTTAGACTCTTGGTAGTTAATGTTTTTGTCCCTAGAACAGATCTCTTGCTTTGGTAGAAAGGAGTGAGGTGATGCTATATCGTTGCAGAATGATACATAATACAATGATACATAATACAATGATACATAATACAATGATACATAATACAATATATAATACAATACATAA